TTTAAGTTGCTCCTATATTGCTATTCCATGTACATGAGAGCCGTCATAAAAAACTTGTTTCCCTGGTTTATAGGTCAAGAGTGCCATCAGTGACCATCTGTCTACTTTCTGATTTTTTCGGGCAATGTTTCCTAATTATATTATAAAGAAAAAAATAATATAATGTTCTATAATAATATAAGCGCGATAAGGATATTTATAGCTCAGAGAAAGAGAAGATTAAATAATTTTAATATAATATTAATATTAAAGTAAACACGGAATTAAAATATCGAGTAAACATAATATAGTATTTTTGCTTAGAGTTTTTGAAAATAAAATTAAATGTGAAAGAAATTTTACACACGATAATAATAATAATAATACAAATAAATAATAAACTCTTGAAAAAATATTTTTTGCATAATTGTAAAAATTATTTCTCAAGTGTTATATAATACTATTTATAAATATATATATATATATATATAATATTATTAATAAAGTGTGCGATAAATTTGTGTCTCTTGCGCGTATGCAAATGATGATTCATTGCTTCCGATATAAAATGTTCAAAGTCATACACGATTGCGTTCTTAATTGCAGGCTGACGGTTTATGCGGAATAATAAATCTTCAATGAACACGTTAATGATATTCTTTTCATTTTAATACCAGTCCCACATGTGTAAACTTATCGATGCCATCGAACCATCGGGGAAACGATCCGGGAATCCGTCCATCATTGATTTCCCCCACTAAACGGGTCGGACGAGCCTTTCTCCCATAGACCTCTGGGTCTTTGAAGTTCAGCCATCGACCATGACCAGACGCAGGCGTTCCTTTATCTTCTCCGATGCTTCATTGCAATTATGCCTTACACAAAAACATATTTAAGCGCATAACAGCTTCCATCACGACGTGATTAATATCATTTAATTTCATGTCACTCGAGAAAGATGAATATGGGAGAGAATCAATTTTGCTAAAATTTACATTACAAAAATAATGTTTAAGTGTTAAACGGCTTCAGAATTAATATCGACAATTTTATGTTATCGATAATTGCATCAGGAATAAATCAAAATTATTATTAATATCCATAAGAAATTTTGATATATATTGTATTTATATCAAACATATTTTTCCTTAAACTGAAAACTAAAGTACCACGTATTTTAAATATAGCCAATTTAGGTCGATTGTGCAGAGATCCTGATCCGCGGCACACCACTTAAAATCGAACGCGCATCTTATTATCCACGTCTGCGATATTAATCCTAGGTTTGGCCCATGATGCAGCTGCACTTAACCTACCCCTTCATCTGTGGAAATGCGCTGGAGATCTTTGCATAATTCTACCTTTATGCGAAGGTACTATCCTTTTTATTAGGTATCGGCTTATGTCGTCGCTTTCGTAGCGAAAAAAAAATTTTCACATAATTAAAGGAAGATAAAAATTGTTTCCGGTAAAGAATATAAATTATGTTATTGTGCGCCATTTATTTTTAACATTATCTATTATCTAGATAGCTTTGAGATATTTATTATACAGCAACTAGTAATTTTTCTTACATTTTACATTTCCCATATCGTAAGAAAGAGTTCGTTACACCGTCTCGTTGCCTACTTGAACTAAATTTCACTGCCGCATTTAGCATGTAAACGACTTTAAGCTTAAATGAGGAATGCTGTAAATGGATCCAGTCCAAATGAAGGTTCGGGGAGATTAATTTGCGACGATATCTGGAAAAGTCGCGTCCCTAGCAAATTCTCCCACGGACGAATAGTCGGACGAGAGTTGAAGTAGCATTATCAGCGCAGACCGTCCCTTGTATGCCTACTAAATTTGCGAAATAACGGCCGAAATGTATCTAACGTGGAGCCGCGGCTGTCCTTTGGCCCATATTAGGTTGCGTTCGTTGCCCTTTCTGTGCGTGATATTCGGAAATTTTAATGGTGTTTGCTCCGTTAGTCCCGGGACTGAAATTCATCGTGTATTTATTTTTCGTCGGTAGACTTCCGTTATCTGAATAACTCACCGCACGAATGCTTGTACAAGCTGCAATAAACTAAGAGGATCGAAATTTTTGTCGGGTACATTACTGCCCGGAGAAAAAATTTGCGCAGTTCTGTCACGTTTCTTATTAGTGTTTATATAATTAATTAATTAATAAAAAAGAATTTGATTTTATGTAAATATTTAGGCAAGCGTATTTAAAAAAAATAACCGCCTTTTTCGAAAATTTCGAACTCGTAGAGCTCGTAAGATGTTAGGCACGTCGGTGGAACACGCGAGAGTATTCGCGAGCGTTAAAAACGCGCAAACAAAAATTTCAATACGCTCCCTCGTAACTCTCTCGAGCACGGTATTAGCAGCTCGTTATCTGCAAATCCGGTTGGTTGATGCTCGTATCTGAAACGTGCATCAAATCAGCGCCTCGGATAACTACGCTTGGAGAAACGACGTGACGGCGGGAAGAAAAACGAGACACGAGAAATGCGCGCGCGAGAAACAAAGGGGGAAAGTGAAACGCGATACGTTATTCCTTCGGTCACAATATTGACTGCAACTTTAGGTCGGCGAGATTTAGGTGACTTCCCGGCCTGCGAGCGGGAAAGAGGTGGATAAATGGTTAGTAAGTGCGATCGTGGAGTTTTAGAGGGGTAGGCCTTCCCTTTAAATTCGCTTAAAGCCGATGCCGAGTTTATTAGGGTTACCGGGCGTCCGCTCGGAACGGCCGTCAATTCACTCGCCTAGCGAAGCGACTTAAATTCCTATTGTCGCGTTTATTGCCGCGGGAGTTGGATCCAAGGATGAAACAAAAAAAAAATATCGATACACAAATTTTTTTTCTTCTAACTGCAACGGGGATTCTCGTCGAAAACGAACCATGTCGACCATCGCTCGTCATCGGGCAGAGCGCGTTGGATATTATAAATTGGCTCCGGCAGAAGGTGAACGATTCGCGCGCTTCGCTCCACCCCTATCAATGTAATCGTTATAGCTCCAATCTCTCGAATTGTAAACTTCGGGTTATCGAGAATTACTTGTACGTTCACTGGCTGCGATGGCTGGTCCGCCTTATTACGTCCTTCCGGAGGTTACGATAAGTTTTGCGGTTAAACGCGGATCTCTCTTAAATTGCTGCGGCTTTCCTTGCTCCGGCATATTACCAGAAGAAGTATGGAATCTTCGACATGTTCTTGCGCGCCATAATGATTGCACGTCGCACGTGTACCACCGCGTGTCGTGCGCAACTTGTGCGTAGCCGAACATGTTACTCCGGCCATCGAGCCAAGATTTCTGAACTTTTTTCACCTTCGATTATATTCAATCTCGTCTATCGCTCTTCCGTGAAAGGGATCCGCTCGCAGATGCGTAGATTGTCGAGAGAAAGAGAGAAGAGAGAGAGAGAGAGAGAGAGAGAGAGAGAGAGAGAGAGAGAGAGAGAGAGAGAGAGAGAGAGAGAGATCGATATCGAGATAAATATTACTTTATTATTTTTCATCGCAGATAAATCTTGTATTACGATTCATTTAATCATCGCATTTTCCATGGTGTGCGGCGAGCGTGAAATTATGGCTATTCATTCTTGCACAATGATTTTTGTCGATCGCCATTCGTTGCGTTGTACTTGTTTAGCGAATATTTAAAAGTAGATAATGACAATTCGATAATTGGATAACCCTAGATCCACGGATATCGGATAATTTATGGACAGTCCACGGGTAGAGAGCTCTCCGGAGTTAGATATAAATGCGAAACTACGTTCTTCGTTTTGCTATCTATCGATCGCTCCGATTCGTGAGCCGCGATTACGGTTAATTTAATTCAGTCAGTCATCATTCAATGATTACGGAGCTGAGGCAATGCATTACTCTAAGCGCAGTCTGCCTCCGTTTTCGGAAAATTGCTGTCGTTGAAAATGTTCTACCGATTGCAACTTGTTTCGCACGTTTACAAGGGGATCATTTTACGCATTTTTTTTTAATCCGATAAACGCGAATTACTAGCCACGACGGTCGAAAAGTACACCCTGATATTCATAGATCTAATCAAAAATGCTATTCTTGAACCCCGCAGGCGAGTGCTACGACTATCGTGATTTCAAAGAGACTTGACTCGTTTACGTGATTTATGTAATGGATAGAGGCAAAAAAAGAAACGAAAAACTCTCAATTTCTTCTTCTTTTTTTCTTGAATATATTGGCACGTCAAATAGATACTATTATCCTCAAAGAAATTTCAGAGAAACGTAATCTTTCTCTATTTCGATATATTTTATCAAATCTCTTTTTAAAGAGTTTTTTCTCGAGGAGCAAATTTAAAATTTTTTTTATGATAGCAAATTAACGTTCGAGAACACTTGATGTATAATTAAAAGATTATGCAGATAATTTTTTTAATAGAAGGTGGTAAATTATATGGTAGATACATCTCTTGAATTTGAAAAAAGTGAGTTTTTCGGCTTGCTCAAAAGGCAATGCATTATAATTACCTCGAAGAATCATCCTCGGCGATTACAAGGTCGCACCGACGTTTAGCCCAATTTCGAGAGCCGTGTTGTATTTATGCACTGAGCAACACGAGCGAGATTAACCAGATTAGCTCTTGTTCGGGTCGGAATAACCATTTACGTTGGCGACTGGTTCTTCACAAAATTTCTCGTTTAAGAGATGTTTACGCTCAGTTTCGCTCGATTTCGCAAATTCAAGAATAATTGAATAATAGAAAATAATTTTGACATAGGTATACATACATATATATATATATATATATATATATATATATATATATATATATACCTACTATCTTGTTTATTATTGCATCCATTTCGTATTTATTTATTTATATATTATCTCGCGAATGTAACGCAATTGTATTTTTCTCCTCGAAAAAGATGATCGAGAAAGTATTGTCAAATTTTAATATTTTTTTGATAAACTCTTTAAGAGCTTCGGTGTATTTTGATCTCTTTCTCTCTCAACGGCGAATAGCATCAAAAGCACAGTTCTTACGTCTTCGACGAGACTATAGCGGCATATCAACTCCTCTTGGTCGGGGGCCGTCTCATTATCCGTGCTCCGATGGTACCACGCTGCGAGCTCGCAAGCCTCCTATAGTCGAACTCGTACTATATTCGTATCCCGAAGTATAGGTTGGTGTGTGCTTTCGGCATCTGAAACAATTCACCCTAGCACTATATTCCAGGTTGGAAACAGTATCACGTATGCCGCGTTACATTTCCTCGTTATTTTTGGTCTCACTATTATTAATAAGAATTCTCACAGATTGTCCACCTCTTTCTCGATTTTCGAGATAGAACTTGGGTGACCATAATTTTCGGTTAGCTTTATTTTTATTTATTGGTTAGCTTTATTATTATTTATAGTTTTCATCTTATATACAATATAGATGTATATTATATGGAATATCTCACAATTTTTGTACAATATTCTAATAATGTATTTTAGAGATAAAATTAAGTAAAAAATCTCAATAGAAAGATTTTAAAACTGCAATTATAATTTGGAGTTACAAGCGATTAAACTTATAATTTATATTTATAAAAATATATAAATGTAATATAATATAATAAATAAAATATGAATTATAAAAATATAATTTAAAAATTATTTTACATTCGATATTTTTAGATTAAGATATTTTTTACTTCACTTTACCTCTAGAACATTTTATTAAAATGTTGTATGGAGGTTACGAGATACGTATATAAATTAATTACAAATCAAATAAATTATACGAAATTAAATCTTTTTGTAAATTTACATGATTAAAAATCGCCATTTACTTTTAATAAACTTGACATTTTTCGATATAAATAGTCTCTTCCGGCGGTTTCTTCCTAAAATTATTAAAATTTCATTATCTATGCGCGGACGCAAAACCCCGTGGCACTTTTAGGTGCCTATGGGCAGAGCAACTAAGGCAACGCACCCTGTGGTGGCCTTTGGTTTCTCGAACGAACGAAGGATGATGCATGGCGATACACGCATATATCCCCCTTCCATCCTCCCCCGCCTTTCCTTCCCTCTTCTCTCCATCGTGCGTCCGTGCCGCCGCCCTCCTTTCTGCTCCTACCTGGCATCGGGAACTCCACCTTCTATCGGGCTTATAACATCGAAGCACCGCCGTCCAAAAATAATAACGATAATAATAACAACGAAAGCAGCAAAAAAACCGGGAGACTAGAGAGAAACTATTCCTGTTACGTTGCATTCCTCTTGCAGAAACTCGTCGGACCACCCTGAATACGATGCTAACGCGGCACACATGGGGCTTTAACAGGAATATCATTTGCCTTTTGTCGTGTGCGTCTGAATACGCCACTTGACCCTCTTGTTCGTAAGCGTTTATTAATCCGCGTCAATCAACGCGCCGTGTCCAACGGAGAGTAATACGTTTATTACAATCGAGGATTGTTGTAACGAACGCGATCGTACAATTTTGCAATTTAGATCGATACCGAAGAAACAAACAGCGACAACGAACTTTGTAAATGTCACCTCTCGCGTATGCATCTTAACGGGCTGACGGAATGCTTTAAGTGAACTTCGCATTTCGGAGGACAATTTGGTCGCCTTCCAGAAGGATTGGCCGTATTCCAATGTCGACGAAATTGACAGGTCATTCGGCTCCGAGTGAAAATATTGTCTTTCCATGAATCTCTCTCTCTCTTTCTCTCTCTGAATAAAATCCCGTAATCTATAATATTTAATTGCGCGCATCTCTGAAAATTCAGTTTTTTTATTTCGTTGCGCGATACCATCTATATCGACGCGAATGCAAATTTTGGTTGGAAACAGTACGATGCAATTCCGTATTCTCGATTGCTACAATGTTTCCTCGAATCTAGGGATACGCGAGTGATATAGTACACTGTTGCATTTAAATAGTTTGTATATTTTATTGTATCTCGTTATGTGCTTCGGGGAAACGTATAAATTTTCCTTCTGTCATATCGCTCTTTCGTAAAATACGCAGTCTGGTCCGCGATCTTGATAATATTTTTTATACATTTTACATTTTATACTCTGTGATATATTGTATATACTTCTTTCTGCATTTACGTAAATCACGAATGCGATCGGTCGATCGATCTCAATCATTTTTAATTAAAGTACACAAGTTTATCGTAATAAGGGCACTATCATTGTATGAATAATGCAGACTCGTGTTACAGATTATACTTCCGCTGAGGTGCAATATATTCTTTCATTAAAGCCAAGAATAAATCTAAATGCGCTTACTTGTATATAATTTTCCAACTTTCTTTCATATTTATTTATTATAGTTTATCGTGTCATCTTCATTTACTCGGCTGTACAATTAGCCTTTTCACCCTATTCACTCTATCTTTTACATATAATCATATATAAATTATAGTACAATATATAAATTATTAGTACAATATTGAAGAGAATGCATTTATGCACTATGTACGTAATAAGGTTTATAATAATAAATAAATATTTATTATTTTTATAATTAAATAAAATGTGCAGCGCGCACGCGTGTTTATTATTATTAAATAATCTTACGTTATTATTATTATTAATTGTAACATCGAAATATATTAATTAACAAAATACGTCACTAATAATGAATATTTCTCTTTCTCTGCGTTTGACGTGATAGCTAATTTTACGTTTCAGTCCTTTTACCCCTATTTACACACACGATACACATTTACGCCTAAAAATATCTTCAGCTTTTAATCTGCTACGCATCTGAGCGTCGTTATTTCCACATCAGGTATAATTGCAAATTAATCAATGGTTCTCAAAGACGTTGAGATAAGAAGTTGAAATTATACGAGCGCATGATTCGCGCTGATATACGCGTCATGTTTGTGCTTGATTGATTTTTAACGGGGAACACCAATGTTGTTTCGCCTTTGCGTGGAACGAAAATGGGATCGGATCACGTGACAGTATGCGAGCACGTGTGCATGCATACGTGAAACGCGGTAGGTAGGTACCGAGCGACACGCAATCGCCGCTTATAAGCCCTTACGGTGTATAAATTATTGTGATTTCTTTCGAGTAACCCTTGTTTATAGGGATGCGTTGGCCGATCGGCCGTCCGATATGCCACAACATCAAAGGGCTCGTACGATTCTCTGGCCGCTTTCAACCGGATCTTCGGACTTTGGACGAGGATCTTTACGTAGAATTTCATCTTATATCGACGCGTATATATATTTAGCAATTTATTTAAACGCGCAAGAGCTAAACGCGAGAGAGACGCGAATGAGATTGAAAGATTAAAGGCGCAAGAAAGCTAGCGTGTTATAATAAAAGCTCGAGACGGTTACGCAAAATATCTTATAAATTTAATTTAATTAAATTTAATATAAAATTAATAATAATAAAATTATTCAATATAAATTTTCATAATTTACATGAAAATTATGACATTCTCATAATTGTATTATTCCATATTTTTCGCAAACTATTTACAATCATATTCCACCGCGTATTATAGATACATGTATTAATCGAAAGATCGATTAACGGTGCTCGAGTGAAGACTCGACGAGATCTCTCAGGGTAAGGAGGCGCATCGCGATTCGAAGGCTCGAGAGTCGTAGGCAATAACTCGTCATTACGGGACCGATATGCGCGAGAAAAGGAACAAACGCGTATCCCGAGATGTACCTAGAATCACTTTCTTGAACGGGAGAGTGAAGCGGCCACATGCACAAGTGGTACACATGGAAGGCGGGATGGCTCCGGACGGCTCTCGCAAATCATCCACATGCATCACGCCGCAATTACACGACGAGGGTTCATTTAAATCCGATAAATATTACGCCGCTCATTGTATCGTGCCATCTGGTGAATGCATTCTATACTTTGTCCGTGTATCCGCGAAATCGGCCCGGAGGTCCGAGTTGCCTTTTAAGAGGGAGAGGAGAGGAGAGGCATCCTTTAAACCCATATTTATTACTTCGCTACACTCGGGTAATAAATCTCGCGGATGTGTAGACACGATTATAAAATTAAAGTTTCGCACTCTCTTCCCCTCTAAATATATACTTTGCGTTAAAAATAAGAAGATGATACCTATGTAAATTCGCGCGTCCTCCTTTATTATGTGCCGATTGAATCGACGATTCGGAGCGAATTCATCTTCCGTGATTTCTTTCATCGACGCGCCGATAAGTGGCCGGGATGGCAAATGGTAGCGGGAGGGAAAAATTGATGATTTCGATAAGAGATTTGATTCGCCCCGTGGAGCAATTCGTTTGCCGCGATACACGAAACGTATTGTGTAGCGTACGCATGGATGCCCATCGCAGAAACGCATAGTGCATCGCGACGGGCGCGGATGTTTTTAAATCTCCCCGGAGTCTGCGTCGGAGATTTATCGCCGTGGCCAGTCCCTTTGGAACGTGTGTGCCTGCGCACATGCGTTAATTGCGCGACGCGAAATGCCGAAGGGGGTGAGGAAGGGTAAGCAGCCAAGTTATTTGCAGTGGCCAAAGTACTCCGCACTGTGCACCACGGCTAGTGGCGAATCCTGCGGAAGGTCAAGGACTGGCATTAGGATCACTGACCGAGGAATGGTCGCCTTCAAATTTCGCGTTTTTTTTTTTATTGTTTTTTTTTAATCTCATCAATTAGCGAGGCAATTAGCGCGTTAGCGCAAAATCTGAATGTGTTGATTGTTTTATGGATACGACTTGATTCATGGTTCGTATGATATAAAAGGAACATACATTTTACATTTCACGGTTAACGATATTATCTCGAGCATTGTTACGTCATAATTTTCGCCGACAAGAATTATTTATATTAATTATTTTTCGTGATGAATGTGTGCGCAATAGTTGTAATACTGTTATATGCGAGGTTCGGTTTTTACATAGTTAAATTTATTTGTATATATATCACTTGATATACTGTGTACGTATATGTAACCATCACTAACGATTAAAAAAAGTAAAAAATATTTTTCCGAAACACTATAAGTTAGAGAAATATTTTTTTTAAATATATGATCGAATGTCTACATCTTAAAACTGACTGATATATCAATTATAAAAATTTTCTTGTACAAGAAATTATCAAATTTCGAGTTTCTCTCTGACGTATTATTATATAATTATTACAATAACGTTAAAAAAGATTTTTTGTCCAAAAATTGATTATA